AGGAGGTCATGGGGTTCCTTGCATATTTCCTAGAATATAGTAGTCCTGGTCTTCGGAGACAGTGTTACGTTATCCCTCTGTTTGATGCTTACTCAGTCGTTGAAGTCGACAGAATGGCGATACATGGATTGTTAAGTTTAGTACTCCAAACAAACAAGCGTAGGAATAAATCGCATGGCCGCCCTATGCCAAAAATCTACCAGCCCAACTGGCTGACGGAATTCGCGGTTAAAGGTTAAATGTTTGGTTCAGAAGTAACTACTGCGTGTTTAATGCGTGATAAGTACACCGTGGGAAATAAGATGACAGAATTAATTTTTGAAGCCCCGAAAAATCTCGTCGACTTATAATAAAAAAACTACTTTTAAATGTTTGGTAGCTTGACTTTAAATTTTTTCGTTAAATTCCACCAATAGGAGGACGAAGTTTCATCTTCTTTCAATTCCGCCAACTTAAGATTGAATTTCCCTCAATTAGCATTCGTATCCTGCGCAACAGAACTTTATGTTGATCGAATTTTATTCCATTTTAGCATATTACAACAAACATAATCTTATTTAATTTAGTATTTTTGATCACTTCAGCCACAATTACATATGAATTTACGCTCACTAGCCAAGAATGAAATGTTTGACTACAAACTACGCTAATCAGTTGGACGTGGGGGGAGGGGCCCTACCAATCAAATTTGCCAATAAGATAAAGACGCCTGCAATTATTTTACTGAACTAAATGTACGTTAAACGGTAAGCCGCTGTGCGGCTGATAGTGGGGCTCGAGTATGAGTCCCAAAACAGCATGGGACGAGTGAGTCCTGTAACCGATCGGTGAGCGTTCCTCAACTAATGAACAAGGTTTCACCTATCATCGGCATGGCAAGTGAATGCATTCGGCCATTGTAGAAGTAAAAAAGAGGGCACCTAGGAACAATGAAGAAAGACGCACCGAGAACTGTAAGGTGGTTGTGCAGCGGAAAGGGTGCCATCCACGCCGTACCAAATACCAGCCGACTGAAGGCCAGAAGACCCAAAGTAGCGACAATGGCCGTGATGATTCGCCGTCTGTAGCGCTGTGAGGCCCGGGAGCGTTCACGCTGCAGCAGGCGCGAAGACGCAGAGGCTGCCTCCTCGGTCTCACCTCCAGAGGGAGTCCTCCCCAGCAAAGGGGCGTGGTCTTCACTGGGTC